TGGTCCACATATAATTTAAATCTGGGAGAAAGAAGCAAAGTGGAGCTTTTAGAAATCGGAGACAATCTTGTCAGCATAGATACCTGTTTAGGGATATATGACTGAGATGCTTTTAATATCAGTGCTTTTCAGAAAACAGGACGCTGAGTGCAATATCTTTCCCACACAATTGTTCTAAAGTAATTTTCTAATAAATATTGCTTCTGTAGAATGCAGTAATGTTTGTAGGAATATAATTCTGGAGGTAGGTAGAAAACTCTAAATTTCCACACAAGCATATAAAGTTAGTCCAATCAATTGATTCTCCAGTTCAATTTATGGTAAACATCAGAGGTGGGCTGCTCCCGGTTTGGCTCGGATTGGACGAACTAGTAGTAGTGACTGCGGGAGGCTCCGCCTACTCACCTGGATGCTTCTGCGCATGCACAGAAGTGTCACATGCGAGCGCATGCAGGAGCGCACCCAAACCAGTAACAGAAAAATTGACAACCCAACTCTGATAAACATGAAAGGCAAATTTTAATAGTATCATCAAAACCGTGCAATAAAAACAGACTGTTCATTAATCAAGCTTCCATTCATGAGTCTCAGTCCATCACCTAGGCAAGGATGGGCAGCATTTTTTCTGCCATTTTTCTTCCTGTAACATGGGTTTTGTACACATTGTTTGGAAACCTTACTACCATGTTTTGTAGCTGAATATAGAAATATTATTGAAGCTAGTTACCTTTGAGAAATGTGAAAAATATGAAATAAAAATATGAAGAAACTGAAGACAAATGTGAAAAAAAAATATGGCTAAATCTAATTTACATTAACAATGATTGATTTTCAATTCCCATTTTTGCTTAAGATATACATATTAGGCAATCCCCATGAAATTAACTAAATGCTTATGCCACCCAATCTGGATTTGAAACAGGGTACAAGAAAATGGAGATGGGACTTCCTGGGAGGAGCCTGCTGGTGGTGGCAGCAAAAAATCAGCTGCCTCCGAATTCCTGGCTACGTACCTGTT